TCTCTGTCTCTCTCTCTCTCTCTCTCTCTCTCTCACACACACACACACACACACACACAGGTTACTTCTACAAATGAAGCGTATCCTCTGCCCTTTGGAGAACAACATAAAGGTATGAGGAGTAGAGCCTGGGTCTTTGCTGAGTGGCACAATAAACAAGCCCTGGAGCTGCCAGTGAGCACTTCCCGTTACATCCAATGTTATCATATTGACCAAATATTTCTCATTGAGTAGGAAAGCACATAGCGGTGCAACTTGGGAGCCCCTGGCCAGAGCACTTGAGTTCAAATTAAAATTCCTTCTTATCACTATCTATGAGATCTAGGGTAAGTGACTGAACCCCTCCATGCTTCTGTTTTCTCCTTGTATGGTTAAGATAATATGGGCCAGGTGCCAGTGGCTCATACCTGTAATCCTACCTTTTCAGAAGGCTGAGATCTGGGGATCACAGTTCAAAGCCAGCCTGGTCAGGAAAATCCATGACTCTTATCTCCAAAAAACTACTTAGAAAAAGCCAGAAGTGGTGCTGTGACTCAAATGATAGAGCACTATCCTGAGTAAAAGAAACTCAAAAGCTCAGGGACAGCACCCAGGCCCTGAATTCAAGCCCCAGAACTGGGAAAGAGAGAAAGAAAGAGAGAGAGAAAGAAAGAAAGAAAGAAAGAAAGAAAGAAAGAAAGAAAGAAAGAAAGAAAGAAAGAGAGAGAGAGAGAGAAAGAGAGAGAAAGAGAGGGAGAAATAAGGAAAGAAAGAAAGAGAGAAAGAGAGAGAGAAATAAGGAAAGAAAGAAAGAGAGAAAGAAAGAAAGAAAGAAAGAAAGAAAGAAAGAAAGAAAGAAAGAAAGAAAGAAAGAAAGAAAGAAAGAAAGAAAGAAAGAAAGGAAGGAAGGAAGGAAGGAAGGAAGGAAGGTATTAATGCCAATGAATAGCAATGTTCTGAGGATGAATGAACTAGAATGTTTCAAACACTTAGAACCACATGCAGCAAAACCAACACAATAATAACAAATGTCAGGTATTACTACTTACAGTTATATACAACATCCTTCAGTCCCCAGAGAATTTTGAATGTAGGAATCAAGTGAATTGTGAACTGAAGACAGTAAAACTATGAGTTAATCAAGACCCTGGTTGATGAAAAAGTATTAGGCATGCTAAACAGCAAGGACAAATACAGGTCTAAAAAAAGACAAAACCAACATCAGAATCTGACTCAGATTTCATATATGATACAGGTTTTGGAATTGTCTGATGGGATTTTTTAGGTGGTATGTAGTTTGAACTTAGAGCCTCAGCCTTGTTATACAAGCCCTCTACCATTGAGCCAGCCCAAGACCTAATCTGATGGAATTTTAAACAACTGTCATTGACATGTTAAGGGCTCTCATGTAAAAAGTAGACAACTTTGCTAAGACCAGATGGGTAATATAAGCAGAAAGATGGAAACTTTAAGAAGTAGGCAAAAGAAAATACTAGGATTATTTTAAAAAACAAAAGTTAGTATGACAGAAACGAAAAGCTCTATTGATGGACAAAGAATCACTGATGTCTTTAGGCCACAAGATAATTATTAGCGTCTTTGGGCAAGAAGACTTGTACGTTTCACTGGGTTCATTCTTTTATAGTAATCACCTAAAAAATTAAGCCTTGTGACAAGTGACTGCTTTTGCAGGACTTCTGACCCTGTGGGAGTTTAGTCACTGCAGCAGTGTTTGAACTCTCCAGGGTGATTCCACCTATCATCCAAGCAGTTCTGGGGAGTCAGTACCCCAATATTTCTGTCTGATTCATGCCACAATTACTAAGAAAGAAGCAGACAACATGGGGGGGGGGGAGTGGAAACAGCAGGCCAGTTCTGGAAAGAGCTATCTGACATAGATGTTGCATTTCAAGACTGTTTCCAGCTAAGTGTCAGGTAAGGCCATCCATCCTGAAGAATGAGTAGGAACAAATTTTCAAGTCAGGGAAATAATAGGTACAAGGTGGAGATGGCATCTCAGAGCAGAGGGAGAACCGAGTAGCTAAAAATGGGGCACCGTGACTACCTGACTCAGGCTTTGCCAGAGCACAGAGGCTCTGGTGCCTTGGACTTGCCAGGTACTGTGTGTTCCACAGAGAAGTCTCCCTGCTGACCCAGGGCCCACCCTGCCCTGGCACTTACATTCTTGCTCTATGTAGATGTCTGAGTCTTGTCCTGGTGAAGGTGTGTGTCAGAACACCCATGTTCATCTCCTTGGGTTTTTCCTCTCCTGTCACACACTGTGTCCCATCCCTTCCACCATCAGTGTGATACTTACTTTCATGTGTCAATTTGGCTTCTCTGTAGTGCCCAACTATTGGATTAAAGCAGTCGTTTTTAGGATGGATTTGACATTTGTACTCAGTAGACTTTGAATAAAGCATATTGAAGGCCTTAAAGGCACAAACTGAGGTTTCCAGAAAGAGGAATTCTGCCTGAAAACTACAGCCTACAGATATGATTTTCCACCCTGTAGATGTCACATTATCTAGGTCACTAATACTCTTTCTCTGTCTCTCTTTCTCACACACATACACAAGTTCTGTTTCTTTGACGAACAGTAATATAGTGCCTCAGTAAGTTTGTAGACAGAAAAGGGGTCTTTTTTCCCGGTAAATACCAACTCACATCTGTAACTAAAGAGTTTTTTTTTTTTTTTTCAGTGAAAAGCAATCATTCAGACCAGATAAGCTTGGGTATAAATCAGGAGGGAAGTTGTAAGTATCCTCATTCTTAATTCTTTTTTAAAGTAAAAACAAAAAGGCTTACTTCTGAAATTAGCAATTTCTAACTAAAACTATGATAATCTATTCCAGACCAATGTTTTTTAGATAGAATAAATTCTACATAAATATTGCCAAAAAAGAAAAGCAATCATTCTATCCATTTATCTGACAGTGATATTTAACAATAGATATTGTTCAACTTCCCTGCTTTTCATTAATTCTCTGGGAGAGGATGTTGCCCTCTAGCAAGCTGGTGTCAAAATTAATGTTTTTTTTTTAAAAAAGCATCATAATTCTGTCCATTTCTAAATGCTGCCTATGAAGCTCTTACATCTTGAAGATCTTGTAGAGTCCCCTATAGAAGCAATCAATTGCCTGTGAAAATCAGGAAACCAGGACCAATCACAAACTACAATTCCAACTGCTGACCAGCTTCTGGAGTGAAAAACTTGAGTCTTGTTTATGCTCTTTGTTTTGTTTTGAGTTTTGGACATGAACAAACAAAAAAAGACACCGTCTGAGAGTCTCAAAGAGGTGCTGGCAAGTAAAGCATCCTTGTTGTCCAGGGCCTGTCCTGTAGGTGCGGATCCAGGTCTCTAGTTTAGTGGAGGCTACTTCAGTTCACATGTGAACTGAAAAAGTCGGCTGTGGATGGCTTTCATTCAAGAAATATGAGAGGATCTTTTACTTTCTGATGGTATCCTTCACTGGAAAAAGTTTGGTTATTGTTTTAAATCAAAGTGCATGTGAATTTAGGGGTTGTGGGCATGGTTCAGGCAGTAAAGCACCTGCCTAGCAGATGAGGCCCTGAGACAAAATCCTAAGAGAGTGCTTGCCTAGAGAGGTCTGAACAGGCCAACAACTACACACTTGACACTCCACACAACATGTTGGACACACCCAAGCTACAGAACAGAACACAACAGAACACAAGTATCTCTAAAACCAATTCCTAACAACATTTCTTAACAGATAAACTCATACTTTATTTTGACAAATTTGAGATAGAAAAATATGACAATGTGAATCTAGCGGTTGCTTTTTGTGTAATATAGTTTGGGGTGTGCAGTGCAATTTGGGGTTAGCTTTATAGGATAGGCTCTCTTCTGGCCCGCAGAAGTCAATATGACATGACATCTTGGCCACTGTATTTGCCTAAAAGAATATTCAACAGGATAACTGGCTTCCGAAAAGGTTACAGCATTCAATAATATATACTAAAAAGCAAGGAACCAAGACAACATTAAGATGCATTTACAATTCCTATAAGCAGACTTTAGACTTCACACTTAAAGTCCCCAAACTCTTGTTTTCAAAATAACTTCAACATTTCTTATCAGCAGAAGATAGAACAATAGAACACTTATTTTAAAGAAACAAGTGAAAAACTTGAGTAAACATGATATTGAAGATGACTCTAAACAGTAAACAATTTGTTGTATTTATAGATGTCACTTCAACCTTACGCTCTGGCCAGTTGGGCCAGAGAAATTCCATGTTCCATTGATGTAAATCCTTTGAACTTACACTTTAACCAAATGAATACCAGAAAGCTGAACCGAGTGTTGAAGAGGAAGAGGTCAAGGGCAGATGAATGGAGGGAGGGAGGATGAGTGAATGCAGTCACAATATATAATGTGCATATGTGAAAATTGAACCAGGTAATTTGAGGGAATGGGTAGGGTTGGGAGAGGTGGGGGATGAAAGACATCGATCAAGAGGCAGGCACTGTACTCACAAACTGACATGTTGACTTGAAACCCCTTTGTATAACTACTTAAAAGCAATAATAATAACAATAACAATAATAATATAATAAACAACTGTAGGTCTAATTAGCATCAAAAAATGTGCCCCTGGATATAATATGAAATTAAGTGCAGTTCTCATTTGTACACTCATTTCTTGTTAGGAGGGAGCCAGGGGCTTTTGGTGCATGCAGATATTTGGTTATGGTTATAAAGGCAAAAATAAATAAATAAATAAACGAGCCAGAAGGCAGAAGCTGAGTCCAACTTCAGTTTGACTGTGTTAAGTGCTTTCCTGGTGTTTCTCTCTCTCTCTCTCTCTCTCTCTCTCTCTCTCTCACACACACACACACACACACACCTCAGCATAAGTGCTAATTTTGTGGGCTCCTTTTTAGCCTCCCTTCTCCACCCTTCAAGGAATATATCTGGGAGGCCTGGCATTAAAATAGTATTTCTACCATATAAAATAACAGTGTGTACATATGTACATACGTGCCTGTCCCTTTCAAGGACTGGCTAACTCCTCATTTTCTATCAAATAATCCTTCTTCATGTACTTGGTACCCCGAACTAATCTCCATACTTCCAAGTAAGCATCCCTTAGAGACCTCCTACTACCTTCTTCGGAGCTCGCTGGGGTCAGGGAGCCCCCAGAGACCAGCGGAGCCCCTGGGGGGCTGCCCCTGGCCTCCGGCCCACTCCGAAGAGCCGAGCCACCTGCTCCCGCCCCACTCGCTGACCTTCCATCTCCACCCTCCCCGGGCAGCTCCTCCATCTCGAATGGCAGCTGGTCTCCACTTGGCTGCGTTTCCTCTCCCTCCGGCTGCTGCGACTCCAGGTCCTCATAGTGGCTTTGCCTCCTGGTCTCCAGGAATTTGGCCACACAGTAAATAATGGAGCCCAAGGTATTCACCACGACGCCAGCAATAAACAGAGAGGTGGGCTCCACGTCGTTGAAGGCCACCATCCCCACCGTGATGGTGGCGATGCTCTTCACCACGCCCACGAAGCTGGTGGTCACCGCCGAGTTGATGTAGGTACAGTGCAGCGTGGTGAAGTTCATGGCGCAGCCGATCAGGATGCAGGCCACGAAGATGCAGACCATGGTCGGGTCCTTCCAGCCGGGGAAAGCCCAGGCGTGGATGGAGTCGGTGCTGGCGAAGGAGAAGACGACCAGCAGCGGGGTGGCGGAGACGGCGATGACGTACTGCGCGGTGAGCGGCCCGTGCTCGGTGTCGGCGCTTGCCTTCTGGATGAGCACCAGGTAGGCGGCGTGCACCAGCACCGCCAGCACGCCCGTCACGTACCCGACGGGGTCGCCGGTCAGGTCGCCAGCGCCTGCACGAGCACGGGCGGGAAGAAAAGAGAAGACAGCGAGTTGGCGCGAGGGGGAAGGGCAGTACTCACGGGCGGGGGGGGGGGGGGGAGAGGGCACCCCGGGAACGGGCATGGATGGGATGGGAGCGCTCCGGCTGTGCCCACCCAAGTTCCCGAGCGCCCCACCGACGCGCCCCGCGCCTCGGCTGCAAAAACGGGACCGCCAAGCGCAGTCCCGTGCGCAGTGCGCTCGCGACAGGTGCCTCTCCGGACTCCAGTTGCCTCCCGGGCCCCTTTTTCCACCGTCCACGCACGGCAAAGGCCGTGGAGATCAAAGTTGGTCTGGGCTAAGCTCGGTGGCTTCCCGGAGCTGGCACCCAGGTCAACCAGATTCCTGGGTCCTCTTGCCACCCCCTCTCTCCCCGCTGCCCAGGAGTGGGCTCAGAACCCCGAGCCCGCCGAGGGCGGAGGTGGCCGACCCCACCCCGGAATGGGGGCTTCTGGCTCCCCATGGCTTCCGAGGCTCAGCCACCGCCGCAGACAGCCGCCCCTTCCTCGCGAATGCAGCCCCCGCCCCGCGCGACCCCCAAGGGGCCCCGGGAACTCCGGGGCGTCACTCCCAGCCCTCCCCCCTCCATTCCCGCCTCGCGTGACCCGAGGAAGTTCACGGCCCCCCCCCCTCCTTCCGGCTCAGTCCGAGGCTGGGACTCAGACCCCGCGCCCCCGTCCCTTCGGAAGGAAAGGGTGGCGGGGGGGGGAGGGAAGAACGGGGAGGGGGTACCGCGTACCCCAACAAGGCGGGGGTCCCCCCGAGGGAGGAGCAAGGCTGCGCGGGGTCTCTCCGGAGAGCGCACCTTCGCCAGCCTAACGACCCCTCCCCTCCAAGCCGTCCACCTGTCTGCCTCAGTGTCCCCCCGTGGCAGCGCGGGCGGGGCGCGCTCACCTGCCAGGGCGGCGCCGCAGGTGGTGATGAGCACGGCCGCCAGCACCCCGGGCGAGGGCGCGCCGTTCTTGAGCACCAGGACGCCGATGAGCATGGTGACCAGGGGCAGGCAGCGCTTGAAGACCACGTACATGGGCAGGCTGAGGCCGCGCAGGGACCAGAGCGTGAGGCTGGACTGCAGCGTGGACAGCACGGCGACCCCCGCGAAGGCGCGCGCCAGGCGCAGGCCGAAGGGGGGCACGGCGATGAGCCCCAGGCGCCGCAGCAGCTCCAGGCTCAGCGCCGCCGTGGAGCTGGTCAGACACTGCACCAGCGTCAGGAAGGAGAACTGGTAGCGGCTGATGAGGAACTTGAGCAGGATGTTGAGGGAGCCCGAGAACACCCCGTGCGCGATGGCCACCGAGATGCCCAGCACGCGGCCCCGGCACAGCTGCCGCATGGCGGCGGCGGCGGAGCTCCGGGCCCTGCGGGAGCGGCGCGGAGGGGAGCGCGGCGAGGGCGCCCACCCCGGGCGCGCGGGCTCGGCCGCGGAGGGCAGCTCCAGCCCGGCGTCCTCGCGGCTCCGCGCCTCCGCGCCCGACTGCCCCGCGGCTCCGCGGAGGCGGGGGTGGGTGGCTCCGAAAAGTGGCGGGGTGGGGGCACGGCCGGAGAGCGGCGGCGGGAACGCCCGCGACCGCGACTGGGAAGTCGCTGGCGGGCTGTGTCCCCCCGCGGATTCCCCGTCCAGGAAGGCGGCGGCCGCCGCAGGCAGGGCTGAGTGGGCCTGCGCCCCTCGGGCATGCAGCACCCACGCGTGCCGCCTCGTGTCTCCGACAGTGGTCACGGTTTGGAGGGGATCCCGGGCACTACGAAACCGCGATCACAAGCAACAGGGGCTTTGGCGGCCACGAGGGACGGCGCCCCCAGCCCTGCTGCTCGGGTGCCGCCGCGAGTTTTCCGCCCACGGTCTCTCCCGGCAGAAGCCGTCGGTGATGACGCGTGGCGGAGCCCCTGGCATTCAAGACACGAGCGCCTACGCCCCGACATCTAAAGGGACTCCCTCCCCCCCCCCCCACTCCATCGGGGCGGGCTTCCACCCCGAGCTGGCCCTTTCCGGTGCCAGGCGTGGCGCGCTCTGGTCCGGTGCTGTCCGGCGATCCGCTCCACGGTGCTTGCTGGGGCGGGGCGGGGGGGGGGGCGGGCAGGCGGCCCCCCGCAGATCTCGGGTCCTGGGGGTGGATATAATATAAGCAAGAGAGCAGCAACAGAGAGTGCGGGGTGAATAGTCACTTCGGTCTGGGTGCACCGAGGGGTGCGGGCAATGGGCGGGATGGGGCGGGGTGAGAAGGCACGGCGGGAATGGGAAACGGGCTCGGCATCCTGCGGGGATCTGGGAGGCTTTCTGGGGTTCCGGGGAGCCAATGGAGGTCTGCGAGACAGCCATTGGCCGTCTTAGGCAGTCGAACGAGGAGAGGTGCGGGTTCCATCTCTCCCGGCCCCTCAGACTTTGTGAAGTCTGTGCCTGGAAAATGGCTGTGAGCAGAAGAGAATTGTGTATATATTTTTGTTTTTGTTTTTCGGGTGCTTGCACCCACTAAGGTGAGTCTGATCGGAACTCCCTTCCTTGGGAAGTAACGCCCCGCGCCCCGCAAGGAACTCAACCGCGGCCCTAATTGCAGACACAGCCTGATTCCTCGACACGTGCGGCCCAGGCCGGTGAGGCGCGGCCCCCAGCGGGGACGACCGCGCGCGCCGCCCCTTCCCGCCTCGGCGCTTCTTCCTCTGGGCTCACCGGGGGTGCCACCGCGGTTCCACGCCACACCGCCTTGCCGTCACACGCAGGGTCTACTTCTTTCGCCCTTCGACTTCACCTCCGTACTGCACCTCGCACGCCAGCTCGGGTGTTGGAGCTGCGATTGTTAGCGTCACGGCAGGAAGAAAAACAAACCCAATTAAAACCAAAAACAAAAGAACCCATCAGGAATTGCATTCTCACTGCAGTTCTGCCTCTGGGCCAGCTTTGAGTGTGGGCGCTCACTTGCTCCGAGAGCTCTGGCCCATGGGAGCATGGACTAACCACCCGGCTGTCCCCAATAGGTGGGCACTCAGGAACATCCGCTGCGCTAGCTTTCCAGGAATAACACTGGGTAGCATGGCTGGGGGGAGGGGGGGAGGATGCTTCTGATTCCTCTGGAAGCTCTTGGGTTTTATTGCTTAACTTGGGTTGTAACACCCTACTGGCTATGTAAGGGTTTCAAGTTTATGTTATTTCTTTAGGACATAATGCAGTCCGGAGCAGCAGCTCAAATGTGTGTGTTTATTCAGAATTTACACAGAGATAAAATGGGAAAAGTCACTCTCTGTACGACCTCAAGAAATCATAGATTTCTGTTTCTAGGGACCATTCCAATTAAAGCCATTCACTTACAATAGCGGCCCTCTTAAGTGAGTATCATGAAGAAGTAGCTGTACAGACCTAGTTTTGGAATGATTCATTTCTGCCAGCAATTATAATTGCTTCCATTTGCCATCCTAACGTGAGGAGGGAGCTTGGGGGCTGAGTCAGCTACCTTACCTTTCTCATTTCGGCAAAGACTATTCAGCTTAATACTGGAAACGTTCAGTGGCACGAGACGCAGCCAATGTTCTCTACTTTATTGCATATAGTTATTAGGGTTTAAATTTTTTTAATCATCTCATCTATAAACCTGTAACTAGATAAGTTCCTGGAGAAAACTAAGGGGCGGTAGGGGGGAATAATACTATCTTTGGCAAGGTTAATTGAACAGGAATGCAGACCAAAGGCCAGATAGCTATTTGAACAACTGGTATCAAGCACCAACAAAGACACAAGCTCTTTATCTTTAGAAACTACTCAATAACTATTAGTGGCATCCAATCAATCTTGCAGTTCATTCATCCAGCAAACCTATAGAGCAAGTATTTTGCTAGGAAGTCTGTTAGCCAGGGAGGATTCAAGGAGGAGCATGCTGTCCTTGAGCCTCACAGATAGAGGTAAGGTGGCTCATGCAGTTCAGGCAGCTGTGACATCTTGATGCAGGAAGCAGGCGAGCCCCCACTGCAGTTAAATCTGCTTGACAGGTAGGAGAGGCTTCCTGGGAACAGATAACTGGGTTTTGGGACATTTTTTTTTTTTTTTTTTTACCTTTGTGCTCATTTTTTTTTTTTTTTTGGTAGGTTAAGCTTTTGCTCTACCACTTGAGTCATGCCCTTAGCCCTCTTGACTTTTTTTTGTCAGTTGTGGGGCCTGAAATCTGCGCTTGGGCACTGTCCCTCAGCTTTTCAGCTCAAGGCTAGTATTCTACCACTTGAGCCACAGCGCCACTTCTGGCTTTTTCTGTTTATGTGGTACTGAGGAATCAAACCCAAGGCCTCATGCATGCAAGGCAAGTAGCACTCTACCACTGAGCCACCTTCCCAGCCCCATGACTTATTTTTAGATAGTCTTGTGCTATTGCCATTCAATCCTTGGACCACAATCTTTCTAACTCCATCTATGGAATAGTTGAGTGAGGTTACGATGTGCTTCACCATGCCCAGACCTATTTATTTTTTAATCAGTGTATATTAAGTTGTATCTAGTAAAAGGGTTTCATTATAATATTTTCATACATGCATATAATGTAGTTCATATTTACCCTAATACTTTTTCTAAACCCTCTTCCCTACTTATTTTTATTTTAATTTTTTTTATTGTCAAGGTGATGTACAGAGGAGTTACAGTTACATAAATAAGTAATCAGTACACTTCTTGTCAAACTTATTCCTTCATTATTTTAAATTGGAAAAGTAACACATGCTCATTCATTGTAGTTTGTAAAGGGAAAACAGACTCTGAAAATAACAAGTAAATATGCTATATCATAACAATGTTCTCATTCTCCATCCACTGCACATAGCTGGCTACCTTTCAGCCCTTTCACTATAGATATGTGTACACAACATCTCCCTTCAAAGGAAGAAAGCTAGAATATCATAATGTACATGCTTCTGTAATTTACTATTTTACTAGGATTTGAACTCAGGATCTTCTGTTTGCTAGCCAGGCACTCTACCACATGAGACATGCTTCTGGCCCTGTTTTTGCTGGTTATGTTGGAGACTGTCTCATGGACTTTCTTGCCTGGGCTGATTTCAAAACTCGATCCTGTGGATCTCAGCCTCCTGAGTAGCTAAGATTACAGGCAACGGGCTCCCTGCTTGTAATGTGCTGTTTTTAAAAAGCATTTTGAAGTAATCAGCCTTCAAGATAGTGCCTAATAACCTCCTGCTTCTTCACATTCACACACTTCTTAGCTTCTCCCATACCATGTCAGAGTTGGTTTTGGAATGGAATATGGCAGCAGTAAGGGCATGGCACTCCTAAGCTGTGGCTATAGAAGGCCGAGGCTTTTTCTCTTTAGCAGTTACTCTGGAGAAAACAAATGCCATGCTGGAGAGTCACCTTGGGCAGCCTACAGGAATCCTGCATGCTGAGTGACTGAGGCCTGCTAACAATCACAGGAATGAACAGACACCTGATCCTGGGCTGCCACCGAGACAGCTTACCTGAATGCCATGAGAATCCAAGCAGAACAAATCAGCTGGGCTGCTTCTGGATTCCCAACCTATTCCAACGTGCATGGCTTAACTGCTAAGATTTGGGGCAATTTGTTACACACTAATACATCTATCAATAGCAACATTTTTTTCCATGTCAGTAGTGTGTGTGTGTGTGTGTGTGTGTGTGTGTGTGTGTGTGTACATGTGTGGATGCCACTCAGGGCTTGAACTCAGGGCCTGGGCACTGTCCCCAAGCTTTTGTGCTGAAGGCTATCACTTGTGCCACAGCTCCACTTGTGGCTTTTAAAAAAATTTTGATGGTTAATTGGAGATAAAATTCTCATGGTTTTTCCTACCCAGGCTGGCTTTGAACTGTAATCCTCAGATCACAGTGGGAGCAGGGGTTGGAGCAAGATGACATTTAGACAATAGCTTGACCTAAACTAGCAATAAATAAAAAAGCGTGTGTAGGGGTGGTCTATGAGGGAGATAAGTTTGGCTGCAACAAAATGAGTGTGTGGTTTGAGGGGGACCTAGGTGGAGAAGGCAGGAATTATTCAATATAAGTAAGGAATTGCTAAGAGTTCATTTTTGAAAAAGTGAAATTATTGCTAAGTTACAGGTTAAGAAGAGCCAAAAATGAAAAGGCCAGCTGGCTGTCAGCCTGTAGCTCCTGGCAGTGATGGACCTCAGTAGGGCACCCAGACTCAGGCTCAGCATCTCAGCTCTTTAGACTTGGAAACTCGATGTTGTCAGTTCACTCAGGAATGACCAGTCAGCAGTTTTACTTCTTAACTTTCTCTGTGAGCCGATTTCTGTAATTCTTAAAGGAGGCCCGCAGTAGGACTACAGGTTTGGATTCAGACATTCAGGCTTCATATACAGTTTCATTACTTCCTGGCTACTGTGACTTTTTTTACTGAGAACTTTGGCTTCCTTGTCTGGAAAACAAGCAGGGCAGCCTTATAGAGAGGTTAGAGATGAAAAGGGACAGCACTTGAGGCATCTCACACTTGTCCCCATCCCCATGGATGGGGACAAGGCAGTGAGCTGCCTTTCCCTTCGTTCATATTCTGTCACTGCAGATACAGGGGGAGCTTAGAAGGTAGAAAGGATGAGAGCTAAAGAATCAGTCATCAGGAGACGAAGGCTGATTTTTCAAAGCTGGAAGGCATGTCCAGGTGCTGAGCTATGAGCCTCCAAGAATCAAGCATCTTGTACATTGTCTCTTAGGGGAGAATCCTGCTGTGTTCATGCTTCTCTTTCCATACACACTCCAGGACACATTGGATAATCGGACAGCAATAATTTATCATATCAAGACTCTAAGAGCCTGAGCTATGTATCATGAAGTCAGGATTATAGGGGGAAATGACTCAAAAGAGATGGGGGAGTTATTTTTGTTTTATTTTGAGCCCAAGCTTGTCTGGAGCTCACAAACTTCCTGCTTCCTTCTCCTCCAGAGTTCTGGGATTATAGGTAACAACCGTGCTCTGTGAGATACTAATTTTTAAATCATAGGTTATGTTTCAAAAGGCACATGATAAATCATTTTGCTAATGTCATCTCTTGCCTTCAAAAAGAAAAATAAAGAATTCCACTTCACTGTAAATATAATGTGGGTTAGGCACTTTTAAGGGGCTATTAAATTCTGCCTGTACAGAACACCCACTGTGGACCCTCTTCATGAGGGGAAGAAGGACAGAAGAACCCCAGGAAGTGTATCATGTGCCACTCCAGTGATAAGGTCGAGCACCTTGTTAGTTACCATCCATTTATATTAAGCAGTGTCACTTAAAAACAATTAGTATTGTTGATGTAAGAAGAAGAGCTGTGCCTTCCTTGAGATCTTTCATTCATTTAACAAATGTTTATCTACCATCGACATCTGTACACCAGGCCTGGTGGTCATTGTTGGGAGGACATGGTCGGAGGCCTAGAGCTGATGGCACTGAAGTGTAGAGATCTTCCCATTTATGAAGCTAGAGACCTTGTGGGTACTTGTGGCTCCAGTTGGTAGCGACAACCTTCTAGATCCTTCAGGCACACTGTGCATATTCAAGTCCCTCTCCTGGCTCCACACTATGTCTTTTGGTCTACTTTTCAATGTATGCTGTCTTCTTTTGGAATCTTAGGTTGTTGTCTTAGAAAGACATGCACAAATATAACAGTCTATATGCTTGAACTTATTTTTCTCTAGTTATTCCAAGTATATTTTGTTCGTTAAAAATTCTCAAAAACTTAAGGGCCAGCCATGGTTTTTAAACACAGGGCCTCATGCTTACTTGGCATTTATGCTCAAGGCTGGTGCTCTACCACTTGGGCTACACATCTAGTCCTTGTTTTTAAAAAGCAAACTTAATTCACAGGTCTTGAACTTGCCCTGCATCAGCCTCCTAAGTGCTAGAGTTACACAAACCTTGGCTTATTCCATATTCTTTTATTTATTTATTTTTGGTCCGGTTGTGGGGCCTGAACTCTGGGCTTGGGCGCTGTCCCTCAGCTCTTCAGCTCAAGGCTAGCGCTCTACCACTTGAGCCACAGTGCCACTTGCGGCTTTTTGCTTATGTGGTGCTGAGGAATCGAACCCAGGGCCTCATGCATGCAAGGCAAGCGCTCTACCACTGAGCCACCTTCCCAGCCCTATTCCATATTCTTAAAGCATGGCACTGTTCCTATATCTAACTGTTCAGGTACATAGTAGATGTTCAAGAAATAGTGAGCAATTAAAGTTACAGCCCATATCTATATCAATATAACATATAGTATTGTGTTCATGCACACACTTTAAAAGAATGTGATAATATCACAAGTAACCAAGAGATGATGTTTATTTTGATTTTTCCAGTAGCAGTGATTCTATTTTACATCAAAAGTGACAAATTAAAAATGAAATATATTACTATTCATATAATCATTGATCTCCCATGTTTTAATTCATTTTATAGTACAGATATAACATTTTAATGGATACTATGCTATACTATAACATCAATTATACCTTAGGATTTTAAGAAATATGGCTTATGTGTCAGGATTACAGAGTGAACCCCAAATTCTTATCAGCTGCTTCAAACAGAGTTTAAAGTTTAAAAAATGAGGAATCTGAATAGCACATCAATGTGTAATGTCTGCTTTCAATAGTTAATTTATTTGCTGTTAAGCAGCTCTTCAGCAACAGCCTGTTTCTGAGCAAGGCTGAGCACCTCAAGCAGGAACAGCAAGACATGCAGGATCATATATTTTTATTGTTTCATCCCAGGAACAGTCAGCTACCTACAAAACAAGAACGAAGAACAAAGAAACACTTAGGTATACAGAAATTCAAAGTGGCTCAAAGATGTAGAGCAATAGGCTTGAGCAAAAAAAATTCAGGGACAGCAACCAGGCTGAGTTCAAGCCCCACAACACCCCCCCCCAAAAAAAAAAGTCCATCATAGAAGGCACCATCAGTCATTACTTACTTAGTGCTGAGGTGTAAGTTTTTACACCATGTTGTGTTAATTTACTCCTAACACATAAAGTTTATGTATTTTTCTTCAAGAGCTTGGACTGGACTTTCAGTGGATCAAGTGTCAACTATTACATACAAGACAATCAGAAACAAGACAGGCTTCTAATGCAACATACTTAGAAATTATGGTTCTGAATTCTTATTCAGTGTTTTTCAGTCTGGTTTCTTACTCACTCAGGACTTCAAATAACATGTCAAGGCCACTGAATCAGCAAATGTTCAGAAATCTATGCTTGACTTACTAATCAATCACAGGCGGATCTAAAACTGTAACGATACAGACTTATAAATACACTGATTCAAATCAATGCAAACAATAACTCAGCTCCATTAGTGAATTAAATCCCATCTAGTTCTAGCCATTTAAAGAGGCTTACACTAAGGTTAAAAAAGTGTTGCCAGGCACATGTGGCTCATGCCTGTAATCCTGGCTAATCAGGAGGCTGAGATCAGAAGTACTGCAGTTTCGAGACCAGCCCAAGCAGAACAATTTACTAGACTCCATCTCCAAAATAACCATCAAAAAGCAAACATTTAAAAAAAGACCTTGTAAAACAAAGTCTGTTTAGAAAAAGACAAAAGCAATGTTAGGAAAATAAATAATAAAGAAATAAATAATCTGCTTTACAGGCTAAGGGTCTTTAGCTTGTCAGGAGGAATCCTGCCCAGCACTCACCCAGCTTCCTGGACCACCCAGCTCTCCTGGGTGCCTTCAAGACAGTACCCAGGGTAGACCTCCTTTGCCACCCACCTTTGTTCTTTCTCAGCTCCATCCCTACATCTTTGCCTATTACCCTACTGCTAGACAACTGCAGAACAATGAAAAGAGCTAAAACATCACTATGTATCTGGGATGTCGGTGTTGTCTGAGGACACTCTGGGCTTTGCCTTGGATTGTCTTTGACTAGATTATGTTTACAGTTCTGTGTATCATAGCAAACTCCTCGCAATGCAAATGATGGCATTCATAAAGGTTGCGGTGAAAACGGATCCTGCCTCCTCTAAGAACTGACACCAGACCTTTCAGTTCAGTGCCGTGAGGCTAGACCAATTTTGCATCTATCAGAAAATTCATGTCAGCATTTAGTGATTACCTATATGTGTCTGATCTCTGATTCCTCTGAGCTAGTCCTAAAATCTCTTTTAAAAATTTTATTTGATTGTAAAGATGCTGTGGGGGGGGGGGGCGGGGGGGGGGAGGGGAGGGTTACAGTTACATTTTTTACCCCTTCCTTTTTCTCCTAATCTTCCTTCCCTCCCCCAACAGCTATAAAGTTCATTTCCAACAGTGTCTTGTAAGTATCATTGTTGCAATGGATCATCCTGTGACCTTATTTCGGCATTTTGTTATTCCCCTTCCCCTACCCAAATTAGATAAATGTATATACAAGATGCAGGGTACCAAAATCAAATACGGTGGTAACAGTGGATAAACCATAGGGGGAAGAACATACAAAAGAAGCAAAAAAAAAATCACATAGTACATTAAAAATGACAACGACAAAGAAAAACCTCTTGTGTCCATATCTTGGGGTTCATTTCGTTTGGCATCCTCTTATATGGTCACACATACATAGCTTTTGAGCTCTTCTGCTCATTTGATAAGATTACCCTAGACATATACTAATTATTGCAAATATGGGAAACTATTGGACCTATTTTTCTTTGGGTGTAAGCCCTAAAATCTTATATGAGTTATATAATGAATGAAACACAAATCATTGATGACACATGTTCACACCCTTTTTTACCGCAGGTATATCCCTATTTTGAAGATCTTAACACAGACACACACACGGGACATACAGGTTAACACAATCATGAATGGGGATATAGGCTAATGCAGTCATGTACAGGAATATATGTTAATTTGTCTTAACAAGGGAGCCATCGCTTCCAAGGAACATAATAACTTACTTTTTAATAGGATAATAACACAGTAAGAAACAAGAGATATTCAATTATAAGAACAAACATTGTGAAATGGGGAGAGAGGGTACATAATTATACTAAAAAAGAGGGTAGATAATTGTTAAAATTGTGCATGAAATTAAAGGCAAATGAGATATACAGATATCATGCTCAATTTTCTGGTTGAGATACATGCCTTCATTTAAAACAATAAGTGATTCTATGAAAAAAATACATAATGTCTTCTTTCACTGTTTCTGTAGTTGTTTTTAATCTCAAACCTGAATAACCCACACATCCTACTCAGCCATGAAGTAGAGGTGCTCAGGGTTTTTGTTGTTGATGATTAAAATGAATTCAAGCTCAGGATTAAAATATTCTTAAGGAAGACTTCTCTTCCTCTGTAGAGAAAAGGTAATAAGCCACTAACCAATGGAAAGCACCATATGCCATATTCTGCCATTTCACTTTAAAAATCGAAGTTTCAGATCTAGTAGGTTGATACGGAGTGGGAAAAGAGAACGGGGAGGACTCGGGAAGAGGAAGCCAGCTGCAGTGGTATCTACCTGTAACAACTCAAAAGGCTGAAATGGGAACATTTGAGGTCAAGCAACACTGTGAGACCCAAATCTCAACAAATCAGAACAAAACACCCAAAGCAACAATGGATATGTGACAGCACTCATCTGAAATCCTAGCTAGGGAGGAGGTAAAAATCAGGGGAGCTGAGCATGGTGGTGCATGCCTGTGAACCCAGATATGATGCTGGTGTCATAGTCTAAGGCCAGCTCCAAGCAAAAAGTGTGAGACTTTACCTGGAACAAAGCTGAGGATGTGACTCAAGTGACAGAGCACCTGCCTAACAAGCACAAGGCTCTGAGTTAAAACCAACTCCATGAATAAATAAACAAATAAAAAAGTAAATGAAGGCTTCCCTTTAGAAGACTCTGGAGGTGGCCTGTGTAGAATCTGTCAAATGACAGCTGCATCACTGTCTAATTTGCTGACAGAGTCATGGAAGCACACAGGAAGCTCACACGATATCTACCAAGAGTAAAGGGAAAAAGTGCTTACAAATGCACAAACCTTAAGGAGGGGACTCACAGTTTGAGGCAAAAGCCAAGACCCTATCTGAAACAGAGCAAGAGAATAAGATGAGACAGGGAGAGAAAAAAAGAGAGAAGAAATGTGAATAAATCCTTGTATAAGTCTGCTTTCCTCCTGCCAAGATCTTAAGTAGCAAGTATCTCACATAGAGAATTGCGGATCTGAGGTCAGAGTTTTGAGTAAAAGTAAAAGCAGCAAGTTTTATGGATTTGGGGTAAATATGGGTTTTTTTTGGGGGGGGGGGGGCTCCGGTCGTGGGGCCTGAACTCTGGGACTGGGCGCTGTCCCTCAGCTCTTCAGCTCAAGGCTAGCGCTCTACCACTTGAGCCACAGCGCCACTTTTGGCTTTTTTTTTCTTTTTGCTTATGTGGTGCTGAAGAATCGAACCCAGGGCCTCATGCATGCAAGGCAAGCGCTCTACCACTGAGCCACCTTCCCAGCCCTAAATATGGGGTTTTTGAGATCATGAATATTATTTAGAGAAGTTTCACTGAAAGTTTTCTTTGAGGTCCTAGGAGCTGGCAAGTTAACTATTCCTCTGCATTACAAAAGTATCTATGACACACATGCTTCCCTCCATCTATTCAATAAAGATTTATTGAGAACCTCCACAGTGTCAGAAATATAACAAGACTCTGCTCCAGTCCTGTGAAGACAGATAGAAAGGCCCACCCTACTGCAGGGTAATGTGGACAATGACAGCAATTATAGAGCCTAGTAAAGTAGGAGGGGCCACATTGAAGACTAGGGTGCTTTCAGGAGGAAGTACGAAACTGTGGCTTAGAGCAGGAGTGAGTTTAGACTGAGACAACTACTGGCCTTTGTGCAAAGGGCATGATGAGGAAAGGGACGTGTTCGGGGCAGTGGGACCAATCAAAGTGAATGAAGAACCCAAAGTTCCAGCTTTTCGCAAAGCAACTAAACGGTTGCTGAGAAGGTTACTATTTTGAGAAGAGGGTATTCTGCAGGTGCCCTGGAGTTTGCTGATGGCTGGGCCCCATGGCCTAGCTCACTTTCTTCCCTCACAGAGTATGGAGTGGGTACTCTTGGCCACCCGAGGGTGGGAGCTTGCAGGTCTGCCCAAGGATATTCAAGTGGAAAATTCATTCTTTAATCCATCAGCCATCAGCTCTGCTGGATCTCCTTTAGCTCAAGCCCAAGTGCTCTGAGGTCTTCACCCTCAGAACATTGTCTAAATGCCACGTTTTTGTGCTTGTGCTTAATGTAAACTTTGAAGAGAGACTTGATTTTCATCATTATTTCCAGAAGCCCCTATTCCATGTTATGAAAATTAAATATATTCATACAGTATATTTCTACGTAAGTTCCATTTTTATTTCATTTTTACTTTTTCCTGCCAAGCTGGCTTCGAACCGTGATCCTCAGATCTCAGCCTTCTGAGTAGCTAGGATTATAGGTGTGAGCCACCAGCACCTGGCTTGGCTTATTATTTCTGAGTATGTCGCGGCCACAGCCCACATCAGTACAGATGCAGTGTGGCGATGCTTCCAGATGCTATGCAGAACATGAGAATTCCAGCACTTCCCTTGGGCTCAATACTGAGCAAGCCACGCCACAGACCCAAGCTACTAATGAAACCAATGTTCCCAGTAAGGAGGTCCTGCTGGAAAGCTCACCACTCATGGAGCAGATAAAATATGTCAGAAGACACTTCACACTAATATTCTTAGAACTGTAGCTTTTTGAAACCAAAACATTATAATGAAAATGCCAGACTTCAGAT